AGTGCCAGGAGGTGATTTCCTGGCTGGACGCCAACTCGCTGGCCGACAAGGATGAGTTTGAGCACAAGAGGAAGGAGCTGGAGCAGGTGTGTAACCCCATCATCAGTGGACTGTACCAGGGTGCGGGTGGCCCCGGTGCCGGTGGTTTTGGGGCGCAGACCCCCAAGGGGTCTTCTGGGTCTGGCCCCACCATTGAGGAGGTGGATTAGTTTACCATGATCACTCCTTGTATGAGACTTGGGATTCAAAGTGCATGGACTTATATCACCCTCCATCTACTCTTAACTTTGCAAAAGGTCTTTGCAAACTTAAACTGTTTTTTCTTGTGATGAAATTAAGAACTTGCTATTTTTTTAGAGCCTTTGAAGAGGTTTATATGTGCTAGACATGTGCCTTATTTTGTCTATTTTCCTTTTGTAAAACATCCAACTTGGACTTTTTTTTTATTATTACTTCAAAGTAAATAAACTAAAAATAACCAAGTGATGTTTTGTCTGTCTGTTTTCTTTTGGGTAGAGAAGGATCTGATTGGTTGTCTTTAAGGGTCTAAATTTAAACAGCAAATTGTCTCTTACATAAGTTCAAAATCTTGAAAAGTATGACTATAGATTGTTTTGTTATCTGTTTGACAGAAATCTCCTGAGAGGTAATTTTTAAAAAGATTTATTTATACATACAGAACTGGTGTATAGACCAGAGGTGTGGGGGGTAGAGGATTTACCTGAGATGGAATGGGGAGCAGAACAAGAGGACTGTCTGAAATAACACTGCGGAGGGGGGAGCAGTGGGTGGGTCAGGAGAGGCCTGCCATATATATGTAGGTCACTCCACTGGAGGAGGATTGAACTCCTGTGGCAGTGGCTGTGACAGATTCCTGATGCTGTGCTTTAACACTTGTGCCACCAGGGAGGGACCCTGAGAGGTAATTTTTAAAAAGTGCTTGTTTTGAGTGGCTTGGGTATGTGAGTCCAAAAGTAATTAAGGGCTACTGACATGGTGACTTCAAAATAGGAGAGGGTTAACCCTATTAATGAATGGCCTCAAAAGGGGCTTGGGGTATGGGTGTTCCTGGTGAAGCAGCCAAAAAGGAGAGGCCATAATATTGAAAGATTGATTTGATACTCTTTTTAAAAAAGATTTATTTATGCATACAAGACCTGGGGTGGGTACAGGACACAGGTGTGGAGAGTGGGAGGATTCACCAGAGACAGTGGGGAGCAGAACAGGCTGATCCACTGAAACACACTCTGAGGGGAGCAGCGGGCAGGTCAGGAGAGATCTGTCACGCCATGTGGGTCAGCTCCCTGGCCAGGGATCGAACTCATGCTGCAATGGCAGCAGGTAGCTTCCTAGTGCACGTTAACCCACTGTGCCACCAGGGAAGGCTCTGACTTGATACTCTTTCCTTTAAGGACACTTGATATAATAGAGACTGAATATGTGTGCTGGACTCAGCAGGAAAAGTTGAGTCCTATATTGATAGGACATTTGAGTTCTATCACTGGTTTGTCAAGTGATGCACAAGTACACAGTCACCTTGACCCCTACTTCTCTCTTGTTCGAAATGAAAAGGTTTGGCCTGATGCCTTAGCTTAGTATATCTGAAAGATGCTGACATAGGAAAGCTGCATTCCTGATAGTGGTTACCTACATCTGAGTGCCTAAGTGAGTACCTTAGGGAGGTTTTCGAGTTGAGTGCCCCAGCAGCAGAAGGACCCGAATATTTCAGTGCTCATTGTAGCACTATACTGGGACCTTACATGTTTATTAATCTTCATTCTGTTAGAGACAGAAAAGGACTCTCACACTTCCCAGAGGGACGCAGTTGGACTTCTGAAGCAAGGGTATTGCTTTGTTTTCAAGGACCAAATAAAGTCTGGCAGGTCTGGGAGACCTGGGAAGAGTCACTAGAGTTCTCTCCTCTCCCCTAAGTTACCCCACCCCCACTCCTTATACAGGCCAAAAAAGGAGGGGGGGGGAGAGTTCCAATGAACCTGGGAATCTGGAGGAGTATTGGGAGGGATTAAGATGCATAATTAAGAGGGAACCCGCCCCACTCAGGAAAAAACTTTAAGAACCCACCTGCTTTACTACTCAGGGGAGCTCTCTGGCTTTCCTGACTCCGCTCACCTCCTCGCACCCTTCTATACTTTGTTGTCTTTATTCTGGGGCTTCATGAAATTCTTGAGAGACAGCAAGGCTCCTCCCATGTCATGGTCCCCAACAATGTCAGTACACTGATTTTAGTTAGTGCTTGA